CCCGGCTGTGCGCCCCCGGGGGCCGGGGCAGCCCCGGGCGGGGCGAGGCGAGGTTGCGGGGAGGCGGCGGGAAAGGGAGCGGGGCACCCCCTCACCCCCGGGTGCTGCTCATCCCAACCCCGCCACCCCTGGGTGCCTCTGCCCCAAGCCCTGCCACCCCTGGGTGCCTCTGCCCCCATCCCCATAACCCCTGGGGTGCTGCTCATCCCAGCCCTGACACCCTGGGGTGCGTCTGCCCTCAACCCTGTCACCCCTGGGTGCCTCTGCCCCCAGCCCTGTCGCCCCCGGGGTGCTGCTCCTCCCAGCCCCAGCACCCCCAGGACAGTCTGATGGCACAGCTTGCCTCAGTCCCCTCACGCCAGGGTGCTGCTTACCCCCGGGTACCGATCGCCCCAGGGTACCGCTGACCCCAGCCCCATCGCCCCAGGGTACCGCTCACCCCAGCCCCATCGGTTCCCAGAAGGTCCTGCTGTGGGGGGCAGGCTGTGCCGTGGGTCACACTCCAACTCTCTGCCCTGCTGCGCTCCCTGGCATGCAGACCGGTAGGTTTTTCCCCTCTGGGTCTTTCTCCTTTCTGCTTTCCCGGAAAGGGAGAGTTCAGGAGAAAAGAAAATGAGACTAAACCAAAGTGGATGCTAATGCTGGCAAGGGGCCTGCAGCGTCCCCGTGCTGCCAGGGCCACCGGCCGCAGCCTCGCCACAGCGCGGAGCCAGCAGTGGCCGTGGGGGACTCCCTCCCGGGGGTTCCCTTGGCACCCAGGCACAGCTGATTTCACTGGGGGCTCCCAAAATCGAGACCCTGTTGTGCCTGTCCAACCCACCGGTGTCCCCTGGCCAGCCCGCAGCCCGCCGGCAGCCACCACGCTCCCGAGCACCGTGCCCTGAGCCCCGCAGCCCTGGCACCCTGCACCCCGCTGCTGCCGAACCTGCCCCGGCGCCGCCACGGCCAGGCGGGACCCCCCAGTCCCCAGCTGCACCGCAGAGCCCGAGCAGGATCAAGGCCAGCGTCTCCGAGGGGAAAACAATGTGCCGCTGTGTGCGCTCCGCCAACAAGGTCATGTTTTGTCTCTGTCCTCCCTCCCCCCCCCGGCGCACATCATCTCACCCCCGTTAGAGCGAAATTTCGCTGTTAATTAAAACAGGCGGCATCTTCCTTATTGACTTTTGGTTGCCAGTTGATAAAGCCTTTGAATGGCTGCCGGGCTGCTGCTGGCCCCGCCCCCCCCGCCCTCCGCCCGGCGCCAGCCGTCCGCCCGTGCCTTCGGCCAGCTGCAAGATCGAGAGTTGCCCCAGCAGCCGTCGGGGCTGCAAAGGAGCCGCGGAGGATGCACCCCGGTTAAAAGCACGTGCTTTTCAGAGCGTAGCGAGGCCGTTTGCTTTGGGAAGACAAACGGTCCAAGCAAGTGTGTTGAATCAGTCAGCAAACACGCTCTGTCTTCTGCCGCTTGCTCCCAAGCGCGAGCTCCAGGCCGGTGTCCCCAGCCATTACCTGCTGGGGAGCAAAACCCGGCAGTGCCGCGGCCGGCGAGCCCTTCCCTCTGCCCCAGCAGCCGTCCAGCGCCGGGCAGCATCTGTGCCAACCCCACACCTTCCTTCCCACCTTCTGGGAGTGATTTTCTTGTCTTTCCGCTCAGGTTCGTTTTGTCCTGGCTCTTCTCTGCAGGGATGCGGAGAGTCCTCGCGCTGCTGTCCCCATCCCACCCCATCCCATCCCTCCATGCCGTCCCACCGCTGCAGCAGGAGCATGTTTTGGCTGTGCCGAGCAAACCCGAGCGAGCACCGGCTTTCGCAGCAACCGTCTGAGACCACGCATCCATGCGACAGCCCCGAGATGTTCCCGTCCTGCACCAGAGCCGCGGTGGGAGCCGCTAAGGTGAGCAGCACCGGTGACCCACCACCCTCCCGCACCGTCTCCGCTGCCGGGGCTCTGGGGGTGCAGCCGTTGGGGTGACGGTGGCAGCCCTGCTGCGGTGTGGCCTGTCTGTTGGGCTGGGGATGCCAACGTGTATCCCGCGCTGTGAAACAGGCTGCTTGCTGGAAAGATGGTTTCTGCGGTGGGGGGGTGGATGAGTGGCCGGGCTCGCTTATTCGGGAGGGGATTTACCAAGCTGGGGCTGGGGTGGCTGCGGTGCTGCTGTGCTCTGTGCTGCTGGCTTGGCCGGGGCTGCTCG